CAAGGAAGTGGTAAGATTGCATAGATTACCTAGTATTGTAAGTGATCATGATTATAAATTTTTTAGTAATTTTTGGCAGACTCTATGGGAAAAAATAAGCACTTTATAAATTTTCTTAATTTAAGGATAAATTTGGGCTAGACAAAGCTAACTATGTTAGGAAGTTGCATGAAAAAGTCAAGTCTCAAATCAAGAAGAATCAGGAAGGGTATGCAAAACATATTAATAAAAGGAAAACAATGACATAGGCATTTGAACTTGGAGATTGGGTATGGGTACATTTAGGAAAGAAATACTTTCCTCCCAAAGACAATCAAAGTTGATGGGAAGGGGGATGGACCATTTCACGTACTAGCAAAAATCAATGATAATTAATATAAAATTAATTTGCCAAGTAAGTGAGGCCCATGATCCAATGCAAGGTTTAGGAGGACTCATGATACTTTGCAACATACGATGATTAATTTGATAGAATCTCAATTGCATGATAGGACTCAATCCAATGGAGGCATAATGAGGAAGAAGTTAATGGCTTGTATGTGTTTAATTTTAAACTTTGGTTATGGCGATTTATTTCATAAAAATATTTTACAATGACCTTAAGCTTAATTACACATCACTTAACCATTGGGACATGTTACATATGCTTGAATTGTTAGGATTTTAGTTTTCTTTTATTTGCTTCCAAAGTTATAAGAACTAGTTGTATTTTTAATTTGAAAATAAAAAAATGGCATAATGTTAGTTCAATTTTTCTGAAGTGTGAGAAAAACTCTTTGTTTGAGTTCTTCCTTAAATCATCGATCTTATCAATAATTATTCTAATTCTTGTGATGATCAATCCGACTTCTCAAACATTCATGCTTGTGGCACCTCAACTGTCATCATTTTATATGCTTAAGTTTAATGATCTTTTTATCCCAAAATTTGAATTAGGTCATTTTGTTGGTTGTTCTTCTTCTCTCTCTTTTTTTTTCAAATTAAGTCTTGCTAATATGTTTAAAAAACTAGGTCTTTTTCGATATTTAATATGTCTAAATTATAATTCAGAATGACATTGTTTCCCTCACTTTATCACTCGATCATGAAGTCTCTAGTGTGAATTATAGCTACAAGTAAAATGTGTATTAGATTTTTGGTGTATTTGTCACCCTAGATATATAACTTATCAATTCCAATAGGCAAATTTTCATTACCTTTTATGCTATAATTAGCCGTTTTAATATGAAAACTCATGTCAGTCCCACACACAATTTGGAAGAGCATCCATGTGAATCTAAGGATTATAAATAAAAACCAAAGTCTTATTTTCAAAAGAATTTCGTTGTACATTTTAAGTATTAGCAACCCCATTTAATGTTTTTCCGAGTCACCCCAGTGGTTGAAATGGTTCATCGTCAATCAACTTGTAATTATATTCACTAACATCTTCTTCCTCTTCTATAATCTCCCCAAAATGGAGATAATTTATGCAATTTTTCACAATGTTGGTATTAATCTGCTCAATTTATATAATTATTATTTTATTGGATTCCTTATTTCCAAGGTTTCAATTTGAATATATGGAACATAAAATTTGGATTTCAAAGCTATTTTTTATTATTTTTAGAAGTTCAGACAAAATAATACCCTAAAAAAATTAGTTACATCAATTCTCTCTCCTTTCCCTTGAGTAAACCACCATCACCTTAGGCCACATTTTCCACCATTTTTCCTTGCTCAAGAGACATAGGCAGTGGCGAATCTAAGATCTTAAGTTAGTGGGAGCAATTTACTTTTCAAGTCAAGTGGTGTATTTTTACACTCTCAACTACATACAGGTTTATCATAGAGCAGCGGTCAACGGGTTCAAATATACAATATTAGTGGGGCAAAATAAAAAAAAAATTAAGATACTTAGTAATAATTTTAACAAAATCAGGGGGTGCACCGATACACTCTCATCTATATGTATATATAGGTCCGCCACTAAACACATGCCTTGCTTACGCGAAAATTGAGCTAAAGAGTGAGGTTTTTCCACTTTTTAGTCTTTTAACAACTCAATACCCCACCATACAACTCATTTATAACACAAGCATAGTAACATCATACAACACAAAAAAACATAAATATGTCTTTCTACTTTTATTACATCACATCAGAACATGTATACTTTCTTTCCAAACCTATTATTACTTAAATAATAACCCCCTTACCTAGATATTCCTGAATCCTAGCTTCCTACATATATGTAGGATCAATATTCTGATTCCAAAACTTGAGTAACATCCTCACATGACCAAGATATATCTTACTATACATATTTCTTTTTCTTAAACTTATAAATAACTAAAATCACAAAATAAAATAAATAACTTACCATTCAAATATATGTTTAACTAGAATCTCCATCCATTTAACTTTTTCTTTTGCCATTTCTGAATCTAAAATCTAATAGATTATTAGTATTCTAAATTTAAAAAAAAAACCTAAAGAATTGTATTTTAAATAGATAAACATTATTCAACTTAACCTTCTATTTAAATGTTTTTCAAACAATAATATTTTTTTATATTAAAAATATCATTACAAATTACATATAAATATAATAATTAATTAATATTTAAAAATACTAAAATATAAATATATAATATTTGACAATTTATCTCAAATTAGTTAATATTTAAAACATTGTGATGAGAATATATATATATATATATATATATATATATATAATAAATTATTTAATATTATTTGAACACTGAGAATTTAATTTTATTTAATATAAAAAAAACGTATAATACATGGCAATATTTTATGAAAATATAAAAAAATAACTTCATTTATATGACATAGTATTTAAAATAAATAAAATATAATATACAAAAATTCATACTAGTTATTTTTCGTACATAACCATAGATATTTCCAGAATTTTCAGCAAATTAGTTTGTTGAAAAATGAAAGATGAATTATTTACTTTTATTAAAAATAATTATTAATGTGCCCATTTTAAGTATATTCGAACCAGTGATTTATTTCTATAATCATAATCATTGTTCTTTTAATTGTTATTCTCATAATACAAAGGGTTAGATTCATGATTCATCAAGTTCATACAAGAACAATTCTATTAACAAAAAAAACAAATGTGATTATCTTGTGGATAATTGTTTATTATTTTTAAAAATACTTTTTTGGTTTTTAAAATTTATAAAAAAAACTTATTTATAATTGTTTTGTTAAAATAATATTAATATGTTATTTTTATTTTATAATTTTTGAAATTAAAATAATTAAAACTAATAAAAATATATTTTCTGTTTTAATTTTTTAATTACATCCATTTTATTATAAAGTTTCAATTTTATTTTCTAACTTTTTCATTGACTTTTCGTAGTTATTTATCCTTTTTTTCTGTATAATAATATTCGTAAATAAAATTACTGAACATATTTTTTTAATTTATTTTCAAAAATTAAATTTTAAAGATTTCAACAAAATATATTTAAAAATTAAAAATTAAACAAAATATATTAAAATACCAGTGTTATGTCTTCTTATGTGTCTACAATTATGTAAAAAAAATTCCTTTATACTAATTAGTGTACCAAAAAAAGTGAGATTGTCCACCTGAATGATTCTCTAATTGTCTATGGAATTTCTTTCCACTATTCCTGATATCCACTTGTAAACATTGATTATGTTCCTCTTCTAAGGATATGTTTTTGTTTTTAACCTTGTTTGTTTTCAGTATAAAAGCCAATTATGTATTTTTATATAAATGATAATTATTAACATTAAAGTTGAAATATTCTTTCAATTTAAAATATGAAAACATGTAAAAAAATTACACTTGGAATTTTGTTAAAAGAATTTTTACTATTTAGAATTACGTGTAAATTATTATAAAAATAATTTTATAAAATAAAGATATCTATAAAATATTATATGCTTATTTTTAGGTGATATATAAGTTAACTTAAATATAAATTTATCTATATTTATTTTATTATATAAATCTTATCTAAATTTTAATTATATTTATTCTTATTAAATTTACAATAAAGATATTTTCTCATTTACTACTTTATATTATTATTTAATATTTTTTAATCAATCGAATCATTCTTATTAACTTTCATCTTTCTATTCATTTTCCATTCTATTAAATCACTAATCAATCCAAACACAAACTTAAAAAAATCTCTAAGAAATTAAAATTAATTATACATAAATTAAATTATAATTTTTTCTTTTAAAATTTAAATGTTTTAATATATTATTGAGATTAAACTAAAACGTACTTTAAATTTATGCTACTTCAATTTGAATAGTGTCATATACTTTTCCGGTAAAAAAACATTAGGCAGTTAGTTGCTAAGGAAAAAATACCAGAAATGTGAAACTAAATTATCATACATTAAGAAAAATGCTGCAGCAATACTACGAATATCTAATTTTGTCCATATCCAAAAATTATTCACCCAAACTAGAAGCTGTACCCACCAAAATAAAATATATACAATAATAGTCTGAAAGCAAAATGCAGAGAATTAATTTTAAATAAAATCCTTTTAATAGTATATAATCACTTTCCCTATCCTATACTCGGTCACTATCCATAGTTGAATCCAAGGAAGCTAGAAATTAAAAAACCCAGAAGAACAGTGAGTATCATAACGAGTTTTGAAAGCATATATCTAACATTTTTCTACAGTATTGAGATGAGATGAGACAGTTTGAATTACAACCTTCTAAAGAAACTTAAACTAAAATACTTGAAACATAATGATCTCAAACACCAGTTGAATACTTGAATGAGTACATTACTTTGGGAAACAGGATGAAGAACAAATTGCAGATCCCATCGAGATATAAAACCGTTGACAACAACTTTAGACAAAGAATGAAACACCATACGTTGTCCTACTCCGCGATGTGATTAAGATATAAAAGGACTCAGCAGAAGTTATAACAACTAACCTTTTGCATAGTTAATGATGACAGAAAGAACCTCAATCTATCTTTACTGACGAGAACAAGTAGTGCACGAAGTAGAATGACATAAGGAAGCCGATGGTACCGGTTGACAACATGATTGCAATGGCCATGAGTAGTGAATAGCCAAGGTAAAGGGTAGCTGACACTGGTCCACTCAAACTCTGGAGGTCGAAGATCAAATAGTTAATGGAGTATAAGAAGACGTAAAGAGCCACAGAACCTGAAGCAAAGAATGCCTTCCACCACCACTGCCAATCTTCCACGCACAGATGCATATAAGTGAGGACAACAGACACTTCAGCACAAACAATAATTAACAATAGAAGCACAACCAATAGGAAACCAAACACATAATAGAACCTCCCAAGCCAAATACTGGAAAGGATGAAGAAAAGCTCAATGAAGAGGGTTCCAAATGGAAGAGTTCCTGCACCAAGAACAAGAAGCCATGATGGGTATTTCCGTGCGGGAATTTCCCTCGGAATCTGGTTAGTGCGCACAGGATATTCAATTGGTTGAGCTTTTGTCCCCATAAATCCTCCAATGAGGGTAAGAGGAACTGAAATGCAGAACCAGAGGAAGAACAGTTCAAAAAACAAGGAAATGGGTATGGCTCCAGTACTGTTACTGCTCCATAGAATGAAATTTAGTATTGTAAGAATAATGAAAGCAATTCCAGGAAAAAAACATGCAGCCGACCAGGAAACTGATCTCCACCCTTCCGTTGTTCCTTTAATTGTTCTCCATACACGTACGCTAACATAGCCTGCAGCTATGCCTAGAATAAGATACAAAAGAATCATCCCAGTTAGTAGCATTCCTCGCGATGCTGGTGACATGAAGCCAAGTGCTGCAAAAACAATAGTAACACCAGCCATTCCAAGAATTTGAACCCCATCTCCAACCATCACACAGAGAAGTTTCGAGCAATTAGGCTCCCTAAACACATCACCCACGACAAGTTTCCATCCAGAGAGCTCCTCGTTCATCTGAGCTTGAGACTCTTTGTCCAGTTCCTCGTACCTAGTCAAGTCCCTTCTCACAGTTCTTAGGAAAATGACAAAGACAATACCAGCAAGGAAAGAAATAACCATGAGTGAATTTAAGATTGAGAACCAATGAACTCGGGAACCCTCCATCTTCAAATAAGCATCCCAACGTGATGGCCATCTTATATCACTTTTCACAAATTCAACCTCGTATGTGAATGATATCCTTTCCCGCTCTCTTATCACTTGATACTTGTCAAGCTCAGCCGGGCAGCTTATGGTAGAAAGAGTATCATACTTCTTGTGCTTTAACATGAGCTCGGGATCATATTTAACACTACAAGGGACAACCTGAAAACCAACTATTTCATACCCGGATGCCTTTTTCTTGTCAGATTCAGAAATAACACCCAAACCTTCCTCCCCAGTCCCCATAATTTCAACTCCACTTCCTTCATATTCATGAACCAAGACCGTGAACTTAAGGTGGTTAATGATGTAATCTGCACCACCATCAGGTGGAGTGTACCCAACAGGGAACCCTGTCCACTGGATTTTAACCCCATTTTGGGTGGTAAACCTCATAACAGGCAAGTTGTCAAGAATCATATTCACTTGATACAGATCCCGTGTCCTCTGTTTCAGTAGCTTCACCTCATGCTCATTCAACGGGGACGTAGTGCAGAGATAAACTGTCTCATTGACATTCATCCGGAATCGGTAAGGTGAGTTATCGATCTGATCTCCCATGAGAAGTTCTCCAAGATTCTCGGCACTTTTCTTTATACCGCCATCCGGTGGGCAGTAAGGGAGGCTGTAGTAGCTGAAGGGAAGCTCAGTTTCAATTGAAGTCAACGAATTAACTTTGGCAAATATCGGATCTTTATTGGAGTAAGTGTTCATATAGCTTCCAGGGAGATAAAAACCATTGACAACTTGAGCAAAGACGATGACAAAAAGGAAAACCCAGCGGCATATGAAGGGTTTTCGCAACTCCATTTCCTCCAAATTTCAATACAATACAACAATAGCAGATGCAGAAAAACTTTCTGTGAATCTTCCAATAAGCTAACCCCAACACCAATACCAACACCGATGCAGACAATACCAAATCTGGACACGAGTAAAACAATATTCAACATCGCATGCCAAATATAATAATAGAAACAAATAAAAGAAAAAACGAAACCCATAAAGCATAAAACATCAAAGGGTTCAAATCAGATCCATAAGTGAACAAAATAGACACCGATCATTTTATGAAAAGCCAGAGGCGCATCACGAAAATAAGTTATGGATTCCACGCACAACCCAAAACCAAACCATCAAATATATAGTATTAACATTAAATAAAGATATATACAAAAACCCACAAAACAATACAATACAATAAACAGCACCAGGGATCCAAAGTTGAAACCCAAACAAACAAAGAGCAGAAAAAGAAAACCCAAAAACCGCTAGATCCAGTCAAAGCGTCGTAAATCCGCTAGTAGAGAGACAGGGTGAGAGAACCGAGAAACCAACCGTGAAATTTTGGCGATATATTGAGTTTGAGAGAGAAAGAGAGGGATGGCAACGACAGACAGATGATTCTTGTGTTGGAGTCGTAGTCGCAAGTGTGAGCAAGAAAGAATCAGGAAAGCGTAATCAATAAGAGCATTGTGTTGGGCATGCCATTCATGTGGGTGAGAGCCCACTTGCGCCCATGACTGGAAAATGTTAATTACACCTCCCATCATTAAATAAATAATGTATATCTTTCTTATTTTTACATTTAAGTTTTCAAATTATCTTGGTGGAGGATTTTCTTTCATTTTCATTTTTTTTTTTCAAATCTAGCATACTCCCTTGTACTTTTCTCATTTTTTTAGAAGATTTATTATTATTGGAACACACACCATTATTCACCCACCAAGTATTATCATTCTTTAACCAGGACTTAAATACAAGATAGAAAGTAAAAGACTAGTTATTAAGTAGATAAGTCTCAACATTCATTGTATATTCAAACCTGGATAAATTTCATATTATAAGATGGATATTTTAATTATGTGAAAATAATCTTTAATAATCATATTAATAAACATTATAATGTATTTGCATCATTATCTAATAATTTGTATGAGGTTTGCAACATTTGACATTTTATGTGTTTGTTATAAATATTTTAAGTTTCGATATTGAATATTTTTTGAGTTTCATGTGTGTTAGCATGTGATAAGCGTAAAATTTTATCATAATATTTATATGTTTCACATTCTCCTAACGCTTGTTTTATATGGAAAATAAATATATTTAATTTATTTATTCTTTTTGTACGGTGAATGTTTTTGAAAAAAAAATATCAAGGATGATGTTTGTTACGATACATAGTTCTAATAAATTAAGAATAAATTAAAAGTGATTTAGTATAAATAAAGTTGGAAGTTTTATTTATTAAGTTTAGAAAAAATTATAAATAGAAAAATTTAATCATTAAAATATTTTTTCTTAAAATCACTACTTTTTATAATTTATTTTCTTTAATTCCTTCTCTTATTTTTTTTAAGATCCAAACATATCTTAGTACTTTTGAAGTACAGAAAATTATTTTTGCCTAATCAATATTTTAGATAAAGTAAGTTTCTTCTTATTTAATTTTTACACTACAAGAAAAAACACTTTTAGCAACCGAAATTAGTGACCGAATTTTTTCGATCGCAATTAGCTGACGGATTGAGTGACTCGATTTAATTCGGTTGCAATTAGCGACCGATTTAGCAACTGATTTAATTTGGTCATAATTAGTGACTGATTTAGCGACCGATTTAATTTGGTCACAATTAACGACCGATTTAATTCGATCTCAATTTAGCGACCGATTTAGAGACCGATTTAATTCAGTCCAATTTAGCGACCAATTTTGTCAGTGAAATATGATTTAGATTATTTTTTTATTTAGCGACCGAAATAGTGACCAATAGTTTGCGTCACAAAATTTCGGTCGCTAAATCGATGGCTATTCCATACTAAAATAAAAAAATTATTTAGCAAATGATTTAGCGATCGAATGACAAATTGAAATAGCGACCGAATTGAAATCGATCGCTAATGAGAAAATAGCGATCGAATTGAAATCGATCGCTAATGTACATTATTTTTTTAATTTTTTTAAATATACTTTAATTGTTTTAGTATATTTTTTACAATTTATTTTTTAAAAGTAATTTATTTTTTAAAATATACTTTAAAAATAAACTTTAGTCTCAATATTAACAAAATGAAGATTAACTTTAATTTTAAATTACTAAAATAAAAATATTATTAAAAATCAATCAAATTTATTAAAAATTTAAATTATAATAAATTAAGACTGGAGTGATATTAACTATTCAATACATTATTTAAGAAAAATTTAATAACAAATATTCTTTAATATATTTTTCAATTAAAAATTTCAATTGAAATTAAATTATATTTTAAAAATTTATATTAAAAAATTGAACACATCAAATTATCACATTTTAATTCCTCATTAACTTAATTAATTAAAAAAATTACAATATCAATCAAATTATTACAATTTTATTTTATAATATTTTATTTTTAATCTAGTTTTTAAATTTATTGTCTTATTATTATTAATTGCTTAACCATGGTTGTTTTCATATAATTGATATACTACAAAAAAATTTATATCAAATTATAATTGATATACATTAGATAATAAATATATTATTTAATTAAATTATTTATAAAAATATATTTATCTTTAGTTAAAATATTTTTTTTACTTTAAATATACTAATTAATATTTTTCATTTTTAACAAAATTAATAACAAAGATTAAAAATAGACTGCTAGAAAAGTTAAAAATTTAAAACTAATTCATTTTATAAATACTAAAAATAAACCATATTTAAATAAATTAAAAATATATTTAAATCTATATTCAACACACCTCCAATTTTTCTTAATAAATGCATAGATCACATTTGGAAGTTTTATCATTAAAATAACTTCAAAATTATTAACTTTATTTTTTCAAAACCCAGTTTTTCTTGTCAGTTTTTTCAAATAAAAAAAATCATTTAATGTAAGTTAAGTTTGTACCTTTTTAAAACTTCAATTTTTTTATATATTGGATTTTTATTAAAAAATTTCTAAAATTGGATAAGAAAATGGAGATTTAATTATACTTTTAATAAATTTAAGATAATATTAGTTTTTATTTTTTTTTAATATTTATTTTAACTTTTTAAAACAAAGAAACTATAATTTTAGTTTGTAAATACTAAATTTAATTAATAAAATTTATTATTATTTAATTTCTTAATTTTAGTATTAAAAATTTAAATTATATTTTATTAAATTAAATTAAATACAATATATTTTTCTACTTTGAGAATTAAAAATATAATTAAACTAAAACTTAAAAATATTATAATATATTTTTGAACTCTTTTTTATAATATTTTTATCATTATTATATTTTTGGATTAATTGTTTTTTTCCTATTTTTTTATATTCAATTTTAATATTTAAAAATATTTAAAATTTTGAATTCTGAAACTATTTCTGTATTAGCAAATTTAAAAACATAATATACTAAAAAAGTATTATACATAATTATTTCATCCAAATTTTTAATAATATGATAAGTCATCAAATTCATTTTTTCTTTTTCATGTCTTTTCTTTTCGATATGAGTGCTTGAATTTATTAAAAAAAAAATTATCTACAAAATTCACTTCTCTAATTTTTATCTTCACATCTCTTAACTATTTTTTTTATAGTTATGAAGATCAAAATTGGTACACACACTTAAATATATTATAAATGAAGAACATTTGTTCATTATAGTTTTTTTTTCTCAACCTATAATTTTATTATTTTTATTTTAAATATATTTTTATTTTTTAAAATTAATAATTTAATCTAGTCATCTAAATCTTTGATGTGATGATTCTAATTAATTGATATTATTAAATGATTTTATTTGATTTGTTATAGTAAAAATCATCAAAGTAAATGTTAAAATAATATTAATTACTTTAAATTATAATACTTGTATTAAATAATATAAAAAAAATTTAAATACTTGTCTTAAATAATATAAAACAAATTTAATGATAGATTAAAATAGAACAATATTTATAAGAGACTATTTATTTTTATTTATCATGGATAAAAAATGTAAATATATTTAAATTTATAATTTTATTTATGAAACACATTTAAATTTATAATTAACAAAAATAATGAAAATCTTAATATAATATGATACTTTTAGTAATGTATTTTTTTTATAAATTTAAACTTATTTTTTTTAGTTTAGTTTTTAAATTTTATGTATTATTATTGTTAATTGATATACTAGAATAAATTTATATACAAATAGTCTTTATCTTCACAATTCACTTCTTTAAATTCTATATTTATATTTTTCTACTTGTTTCTTTATAGGTAAGAACGTCAACATCTCGTGCACACACTTAAATATAATATAAAGTAAAGAGTATTTGTTTATTCTATTTTCTTTCCAATCTATAATTTTTAATATTTTTTTAAATATATTTTATATTTTTAAAATTAATAATGTTAATGTAGTTATCTAAATTTTTGATGTGATGATTTTAATTAATTGATATTATCGAACCATTTTATTTGATTTTTTATAGTAAAAATCATAAAAATAAATGTTAAAATAATATTAATTTTTTAAATTATAAGAAAATAAATAATAAAAATAGAAAATAAAGTATCTTGTAAAGGAAGACTTTAACATTAATTTTTTAAATTATAAGAAAATAAATAATAAAAATAGAAAATAAAGTATCCGGTAAAGGAAGACTAATTATTGTAAAGATAAAATAGAATATGGGAGGAGACGATGATGATAATATAGTAGAAATAATAGAGTTTTAAAAAAAATGTAGAATATGAGAAGTTTAAAAAGAAAAAAAAAGTAAAAAAAAATATATATATATATATATATATATATATATATATATATA